GGCGCCGCGGCTCGCTCTCAATGCGACCTCCAAACTCTGAATTCACAGCCACGGCTCGGATATAAAGGCCCCGGCGGTCCATCGCCAGTGTTTTTCGTAAGACAGAAAGGAAATAGGGAGACAAGCGCGGAGGCACGGCGGGAAGGAGGCAGGCCGGGGAGCCAGGATGAGCAGGGGCCCGAGCCGCGCGCCGCCCGCGGACTCTCTTCTCCAGGCGTTGCCATTAGGCGCTGGAGAGGGAACTTTCCCGGGTTGGGGTCGATGCAGGGGGGACGGGGGGAGATGTGCCTGAAACCAAAGTCAGCTGTACAGATGCCCGGTGCGCACTGCCTGCCTGCCAGTCTTCCTAATAGGCACCCCCGCGCGCACGGAGCAGAGATGCCCACGCGTCATGCGCTCACCGCCTGGGCCGGCTTCCCGAGCTAGAAACAGGGCAGCGCTGAGGACGCTCGGGCCGGTGGTCGGTGATGGAGCGGCGCGGTCGCCACTTCCCCCTCTCTAACCTCTCCGCAGTTTTCACTTAGGGAAAACTTTTCCCCCTTGAACCTTGAGATTTGATCTTGGCTGAGCCGGCCTGTATATTAAAACCACTCCTGCTCCCGCAGGTGGCCAGGGTCTGGATGTGGCGTGAAGGGCCCGGGGGCAGCTCCTGTCCAGGCGCACGAGGCGGCCCTACCCCAGGCTGTCAGGGAGCAGCCGGCCTGCTGCGGGCAGGCGCGTCCTGGGCCTCCTTTCCTGTGCTATTTCAGAAATCGGCTCCGCCGTTCGTCCTGTTGTTGAGACCCGGGGAAAAGGCAGATTTAGGAGAGCTTTCCCAGCTGGGATGGGGTGGTCCCCGCCGGGGGAACCTCTTGTACAAACAAGGTCAACTGGCAGTGATAAATCAGAGGCATAAAATTGGCTACGTGTCTCCGGGAGCACCGTTGGAAACTGCCAGGAATGTCTATTTTTTTAATTACTAAGACAGGCAATAGGGAGGTTTGCCATTTGGACCCACCGGTCCAGTTTCGCTCATCCGCAGTGTTGAGAGAGTTCAGGGTGATCTTCCCAAGAGGTGGTCCCCCCTCCCCTTCCAAAACGCACTTCGCCTGGTCTTTGGGATCCTACACTTTGGTGGCTCCGTTCTGGGGCATGGCCTTGAAGCTTGTGTGAATGACCCAGACATCCTTTTGAAACGTTGACCTTGTGGGATCGGAAAGCTGGTGGAAGGTTAGAAATAAGCCCCCAACTGGCCGAGCAGCCCAGGCCGGCCAGCCTCGCCTCGGGGCCGGTCTCCGCACCCGGCTCTGTAATCCATACAAAGACATTTTGCTTTGATGGAGACAAGGCTGCTGGCTGAGCACGACTCGGGGCAGACAGTTAATTTCAGAGGTTTTACAGTGCCTGGCGGCCCCCGTCCTGGGGCTCCCGACTAGTTACCCCAGTACTTCGTGGAGCCCAAGCCCCCTCCTCTTTTCCCAGGGGCAGCCAGGCCAGTGCAACGAGGGCCTTTGGGAAGAGAGCCAAGTGCAACTATGGAGAGCTTTTCCAAAGTGAGAGGAGAGTAAGACAGCGTTTAGTAGGAGAGACAGAAGGAAAGCAACAAGCCAGACCCATGTCCCCACCTGCACCGTTTCCCTTGGCTGGTTGTGCAGACCCCCCGGCCAGCATTTGGGAGCAAAAAACGGAGATCGGGACACCCGTGGGCTCACGGGGAAACCCGGCGGAGGTCCTGGGCTCTGAGCAGCGTGCCCGCTGAGCCGCCGAACAGGGGGCCTGCGGATTTTGTAAAGTCTGCTGCTGCTGTTTCCAAAGGACTCTGAAAGCCGGCTGCTCAGCTGGGATCCATCCCCAAGGTTCAGAGTTGAGAGGCCTAAAGGGGACACATCTGGGCTGCCTTCAGGAAGGGATTTACTGCAGGAAAGAAATGGGGTGCTCTTGGAAAGGCATGGTTTTCAGGAATACGAGGGGGAGTTACAAGGCAAGTTGGGGTTAGGTGGCCAGCACCCAGGACCCTTGAGGGGAGATTCTCAGGCAGAGTCGGGACTGGGCATGTGGTGTCCAGCTCAGGGCCTGGCTGTGGTGGAGGGCCAGGGGCCAGCATCTCCTCTCTCCTCACAAAGGTCCCCCTCTGAAAGTTTCTGACTTTACTACTCAGGGCCCTTCTGTGGTTATTCGAGACAGTTTTAGAATTGGTGGAACCCCAGGCTCTTTGCACAGACACTTTCGAAGGTCAGCCTCTTGTCCTTGACACAGAGAGGACATTTAATTTGGGCACCGAGGTAATTAAATTGCCCCTGCCCAGCTGCCCCAATGGGGAGAAAAGGTGAAGGGAAAAAGGCAGGGTCGGGGAGGTGCAGCTCCCCGCAGCCTTGAGTCTTGATTTGCAGGGGCCCCCTTTCGTTTTACATCCCTGGGCTTGGTGAGGAGCTGCCGTTTCCAAGACTTGAGGAGAGATTTCTGGGTCAGACTCTCCTAAATGCTGACTTGATTGCCTCATGCTCAGACCCCCGCCCCCACCCCTACCCCCAGCAAATACAGCAGCTCTCATAATTTTGGAAGTAGGAACGTGCCACCCATGGCGCCCTGGTGCAGCGTGCAAATACAAGTAAAAGAGAGAGAGAGAGAGCAGGAAACCGAGGGGCTGTGCTCGCAGGCTCACCCCCAGGCCCCCTGACACGCAGGGAGACTGAGACCAGGGTAGGGGCCCCGCGCGCGCCCAGCTCCAGGGCGTCCGGAGGGAGGCTCGGGCTAGGCTGGCGCTGCAGCAGGGGGCAGTGGCTCTCTGGCCCACGCCGGCAGAGGGAAAAGAGAGAGACACCGGGAGAGTTAGGCTATGTTAATGCGGCGAGAGATACAAAGTGGAAAATTGAGCGAACAAGGCGCCGCCAGTTGTTACAAAATAGCGAATCTTCCCCTGGAATTGATTTTATCGACTTGACGCAGACTTTGCGTCAGGGCGCGTGGCTCACCCAGGCCCTTTCCAACGCACGCACACGCTTAGGTGTTCACCAGGTCACGCCAAAGAGTCCAGCGGGGCCCATCTTTCCGGGGCGCAGGGCGCACGGGCCGGGGAGGCGGGAGCCAGGCGGAGGGACTCCGGGCCTCAGCGCTGTGCCCTCGGCCCGCCCCGCAGGTATCTATGAATGCAAGGAGAAGCGCGAGGACGTGAAGTCCGAGGACGAAGACGGGCAGACGAAGCTGAAGCAGAGGCGCAGCCGCACCAACTTCACGCTGGAGCAGCTGAACGAGCTGGAGAGGCTCTTCGACGAGACGCACTACCCGGACGCCTTCATGCGCGAGGAGCTCAGCCAGCGCCTGGGGCTCTCGGAGGCGCGCGTGCAGGTAGGACCGAGGGCCCGGCCTCAGGACCGTGTCCTGGGTGCAGGTAGGACCGAGGGCCCGGCCTCAGGGCCGTGTCCTGGGTGCAGGTAGGACCGAGGGCCCGGCCTCAGGACCCTGTCCTGGGGCGCATCCCCGGAGCGCACAGCCTCTCTGCCCTTCCAGGAGCTTGGGGAGACTGGGGTCGGGCTGGAACCAGGCCTTTCGTAGACGGTCCAGGCGCTGGTGCGCGCGTTTGGGGGGGGGTGTGCACAATTCCCTCGAAGGGCACGTGCCCCGGCTCACCAGCTGGTCTTTCACATCCAGGGTGTCTCGTCGGAAATGTGGATCACTCTTTCCCCTAATTTCCACCCCTTTGTCTCTCATCCGGTTCGGCTTCTCCTGCAGCGTACTGACTCCCTGGTGCTCCAGTGAACGGAGAGGTGGGGAGGGGGCCGGGGGTCTGGCACGCGGGGCATCTTGATGAGCTCGGCTGTTACCCACGCGGGGCCGGATTAGCCCCCGTGCGCCTGGCTCGCGGCGGGAGGGAGGAGGGGGGGGAACCAGGGCGCTTGAATTCCTGATGCCCCATCTGGCGAGCCACCGTCTGCGGCGCCCTGGGTGTGCGCAGCACGTGCGAGGAGGGCGCCTCCGTGAGCCGATCTGGGGCTCCCTAAATGTGAAGTTTATAAAATATATTAATTTATGGACGGGAGAGGGTGGCAGAGATCGGCTCCCTCCAGGTCGTGCGGACCCAGCCCCGCGGGAGGTCGGGCCTCCCATCGGTTTTCACACTCCTGGGCAGGACAGGAGGCCCAGGGAGAGAAGGGTCAGGCTGGCGAGGCCCTGGGGACTGGTTTTAAATAAACGGAATTAATATTGCCAGGCGGGGAGGCACAGGGGTCTGAAGGAAGGAGCCGGGTTATTATTGGTTGTGGGGTCCACAGCTTCTAACAACTTTGGCCCCCCACCAATGCGTTTTATTAGATAGCATTTTTTTTTACAAAATCTGGACACGGAAGGAGGTGTATATATTTTTGCTCTCCCCCATCCTGTTCCATTTTTCCGTGTGGCCGCAGGAAGCGAGGGTGAGCTAGGACTAGGACGAATGCAACTCTCCCCGGGTATTTTCCGATCTTTCCCAACGGGCACCGGTTCCCAGCATCTTCCAGCTTGGGTGGTGGCGCCCGCAGGCGAGGTCGCTCGGGCCACCCGTTTGGGTGTCTGTGGTCGCTGCCCGGGGTGGGGGGAGAGACTGGCCACCCTTCTCGGGGAAGATGAATTGGACAGCCCCATATAAATTAATGAAAAGATTAAACTTTGGCTGGAGGGGACATCAACTTTTATGTCATCTCACAGTGTCTTCCTTCCCCGGGATCGGTAATATCTCTGAGGCCTTGATGTAGTGTTTCTATAAAAATAAATTACTTGTAATTGAATTCTACACTATTTCGCTCAGCAGTCTATTACCGGGCAGCACCTCAGCGGGGGCCCCAGCGAGGGGCGGAACATTGGTGCCTGGGTGGCCGCAGATGTTCAGAACACCCGAACCCCAAAAGGGGAGGGACCCCCGAGCGGCTATCGGTCCTGCAGGTGAATTAAAATCTAACGACGGTAAATAAAAATACAAATAAACAGGAGATAAAGGCTGTGGTTTTGGCCACGGGGAGGAAGGACGGGGCGAAAACCGAGGGGAGGGCAGACGGCCGCTTGTAAAAATCAATTAGTTGAAATGGATAGGTCGTGGGTGCAGGAGGCGCGGGGCCGAGGGAGACATAGGAAAGGGGAGCGACGGAAGCTGTGTTTCCATTCTTTCTCGCCAGCCCAGCCCGGGCGTGGTGGTAATCCGTCTCGGTACAGACTGTGCCCGGTGTTGTTAGAAGATAGGGTTTCAATTTCGTGCGGAAATTTGCTCTAAATAAATTGAGGCTCCTTCGAAGCCCATCCTGATTAACCTGTTATTTTTAGTCTCTCGCTGGAAGCCCCCCGCGCCCGCGTCACCCAGCTGCCAGGGTTATAATCGAAAGTTATGAGACCACGGGTGAGGCGCGGGCTGTAATTTAATTACAACAAATATCTTCGGGTTTATGGCGCAGAGCTAAATTAAATGTCATTACTCACTGTCTGTAATGGAGATCAAAAGGAAATCCGATTACGGTATTTGTGAGAGGGAGCTCGACCTGCTCCGTAATGAACAAATGTTGTCTAAACCAGTGTCCCCAGCTTTACTTACCATGCTCAGGAGTAATTGGAATTGATCGGGCTTCACCCCAAGACTGATTTATTATCGCTTAACGTGCCGGCTAATTGATCACTTTTATTTCTCATAATGTTTTTGTGCGTGTCTCCCCCCTCCCCCCTTTCCGCCCTTGAAGGGGCAGGGAGCTTGACTTTCTGGATTTAAAATAGGATTGTGTGGGTTTTTTTGAAAAAAATGCCCTTGGCAAGGGGTGTGTGTGTGATATGTTGAATGGGCTCCGGCGCATCTGACTCGCCTCTCCCTAGGAAAATGGGGTGTGGGACCCCAAGGAGAGAGAGGTGCCCAGGATGCTCAGAAAGGTCCAGGCCACTGGAGTTGGGGCTTCAGACATGGGAGTGGGAGGAAAGCGATCTTAGCATTTGGAAAAAGGGTAGAGATGTGTGAATTTCAACTTGTAGGTGTGTGGGGGGGTCCTTTTCGGAATTACTTTTCAGCAGAACGCATAAAAGTTTTAATGCCTCCCTGCAGCCGGGCGGGATGAGCTTTGGAACATTCTGGAAAGACTGGCGCAGGGTGCGTGTGTGTGTGGGGGGGATGGCTCAGCCCTCCATGGAAAACTGTTTATTGAGAGTCGAGGACGGAAAGGTTCAGGTTTCTGAGACTCTCAGGTGCTTCCAAAGTCCGGGACTTGCCGAGGTTTCCCTGCTCAGGGTGGGCGCATTGGCGTAGCGGGCGCAGGCACCCAGTGCGTGGGGCAGAGTGGACAATAGGAAAGATCCCTTTGTGCCAAGCACCCGGCGTGGTCAGTGGCCGCCATCGCGGCCATAGGGTCAGTGAGCGTGGAAGCGAGTTAGAAGACAAATTAAATGACTGGGAACTTTAGGAGTGGGGGGCCGGGGGGTGCTCCAGGTTTGTCTGCCGGGCGCCTATGGGCCCCAAGTTGCAGGACCAGGGCTGTCCTTCAGAACAGGGGAGGTGTGATGTGGGGAGCTCAGGAAGGGGGCTGTTGGGAGGGGAAGGGGATACCTTTGCACCCCAATCTTGACAACAGGCCTCTGAACCCAGCAGGGCTCTAGGCCAGAGTCCCATGGCCCTTTCTTGCCCAATTTCTTGAGCAGGCACCCCCAAAATTAGACATCTTTAGAGAGGCCTGGAGTATCCAGGGCAAAGCGTTTTGCCAGGGGAGGGGGGGTGGCTTCGCCGGGTCCTCACGGATCCAAGACATTCCCAACTGACTCTGTAACATTAACTGGGACCAGCCAGGTCTCCCAGGAGGAAGCAGAAGACGGGGAACTTTCTGGACTCAGGGTGCTCTCGGCCTGATTGGGGGAGGAGGGCCCCGAGTCTAAACTATTTATCTACCTGAGTGTGGCCCTTCCTTGGAAGCTAAAGCCCCAAAATGTGAGATGGGGTGCTCCCAGGGGGCGATGCCCAAGTAGACAGATGGCAAATTCTCCACCCATCGGCCTTCCCAGCTTCGGTTTCTTGGATTTTTAACATCTACGTGTCCGCGTTCCTGTCTCCCTTAGTGGGTGGCGAGGTCCCAGAGTGAGCTTGACCAGCTCCAGCCCCGGGTAGCCAGTTAGGCTTGTGGGAAGGGCAGGGGGTTAGGTGAGGGTAGAGAAAGCTTTTGGGTTCGGGACCTCTGGGGCCGCGCCCTAGACTCCTGAGGCCTGAGCGCCCCTTCTAGCGCCTTGGTGATGGTTGGGGGAGCGACGCCCTCGGTTTCCAAGCCGGGCCTGGCTCACCGAGCTGTGTGTGTCTGTCTGTCTGTCTGCTCCGTCCCAGGTCTGGTTCCAGAACCGGAGAGCCAAGTGCCGCAAACAAGAGAACCAGATGCACAAAGGTAGGTGCGGGGGTGGCGCGCGGAGGCGCGAAGGTGCCGGGAGGACCCGCGCCGCGTTCACCGCTCTGGTCTGTCTTACAGGCGTTATCCTGGGCACCGCCAGCCACCTGGACGCCTGCAGGGTGGCGCCCTACGTGAACATGGGCGCCCTACGGATGCCTTTCCAACAGGTAGCCGTGTTTTCTTTCCCCTGAACCTCTTTCTCTGTGTCTTTTGCGCGCCCGGGGGGCCCTGCGCCTCCGGCTCTCTCTGGCTCCCCACCCCTCACCCCGCCCCCGCGGAAGAATGGAGGCGGCTACTACAAGAGAGCATTTATAGACCCTTTGGCACGCATTAAAATCACGCTGTAAAACTCCAAGACTCACCTTGGGGAGGGCCAGGTCATAAACCCAAACGCAGTGTTACAAAAATCGGAGGGGAAGAAAAATCCCACCTACTCCGGAGCCACCCACGTGCTCACTGCCTGGAGCCTGGGGGAGGGGGGGGCGGTGCCCACACCCAAACCCTCACCCTTTCACGTGCTGAGAGCCTGGGCTAGAGGTGTCTGAGCCCCTCCCGGGCCTGGCTTCGCTCCACACCTCGGAGTTGGGGGGCCTTTTGCTCAGCTCGGTGTGTGCAGAGCGCATGGTGTCCCGCATGGACACCGGGAGGCGACGGGGTTGAAAGACAGGCCTGGAGTACAAGTGTCCAAAGGTCCACGCCCAGTTCAGGACCAGCGCCCCTTAGGTGGCGGAGGCGCCCAGTCTCTAGCGCCTACCTAGCCCTACCTCGCTTCAGCGCAAGACCCCTTGGCACACCTGTTGGGGCCCCCACATGCGGGGTGAGAGTGTGTGCGCTGGAGGAACAGGGGTGCCCTGGGCAGAGCGTAGGCTTGGCCACCACTCACAGCGGTTTTGCCCCAAAGGGCAGGCCCAGGGTTATATTTGGACCCCTGTTTGCTCAGGGACAGAGGCCCTATGGATCTGGCCTGGGCCTTGGCTGGTCAGCGAGGCCCTTTGTTGGGGGAGGTGTAGTTAGACACCTGGGAGAGGGATGGGGGGCAAGCTGCTGGTTCTCAGACTTTAAGTGCCCAAGACCTGAAGGGCGTCCAGGGTCCCTGGTGCTGGGGGATGGGGGGTGATGCACACCCATTGGGTTAAGCTCCCCCTTGCCTGGGCTTCTCACAGCTCAACTCCTCTCTCCAGGACAGGGTGGCCCTTCAGTCTCAGAGGAGCAGTTGCCCCGAGGTGGGGTCAGCCATGAGGCCCTGGTGAAATTAGCCATAGGCGCCCCAGGATTTGGCTGTGCACCCCACGAATTTAGGAGGTCTCTGGGAAGGGTTGTGGGGGAGGCCGCAGCGAAACTCTGGACCCTGAGACTTGGACACATGCAGGGTCAAATAGAGAACTTGGGGTTCTGGTTTGGAGGGGCTCCCAGCTGTAGGCACCCCAAAGCTGGAAAGGACTTGAAGGTGGGCATTGCCCAGGGGTGTGGTGGGCATGGAGATCTGGTGAATTCCCCAGCTTTGGTTCTGGCCAGTGACCCCATCGGGAGAGGGTGACCAGAGGACAGCCCGGAGGAGTGGGTGGTGGTCCCCGGGGTGGGGCAGGGGGGATGGTTCCATGGGAGAGAAGCTGCTCTTGGGGTCCATGGGGCAGGAAAGCCCCCTCCTTGCGTCCTAAGGGTGCCGGATT